AAAAGTCACATTATCACATAGATATCACATTATCGCAAAGTCACACATGACATAGACCCCTTAGTATTCAAATTCTTTCATAAGTCTAGTAACAACTGGTACTCTAACTCATAATCTTCCACCCCACCTTTATAGCAAATTTGATATTGCAAGAAAGAGCTTGTGTGGGTTTTGGTAAGGCTCCATTCACACTTATGCGACTTTGGGGTCTCCACTATGTTTCCCAATGGGTACAATTCATATCTGTGCGACTTCAAGTCGCAGCAACTTCATAGTACTACTTTGGTCCGACTTTCATGCGACGAGGGCCATAGACGTCATATAAACCCTCCGAAGTCGCATGAAAGTCACAGCTGAATGTTGTAGATGCGACTTTGTACAGCAGAAACAATTATCCTTGGTGAAAATTGCACCAAAGTTGCACTCATCCAAAGTCGTGCCGTATTAAAGTCGCCCTATTAAAGGTGTACTGGAAAGTCGCAATGACAATCGCACAATTTTGAAGTCGCACAAGTGTGTATGGAGCCTAAATGATGGGATTTGTGGTTGTATTACGAATGAAGTGCCAAAGTTGCATAGCCCTGGTGCAGTTTTAATAACCCTGCAAAGAAGCCTATGTCTTTCAGGGGGATTCATTATGTTATTTCCTGTTTAATCTGATACAGAAGTATGCTTTGATAACTTATAATGGTTCTCATTGCCCACCCATTTGCACTATAACTGTAAGGTTATCAAAATCAGCTATAAAATATCTCCATACACCAGTTACAGCATAGCCGGACCAATGACCAGTCTATACAAACCTCTTGGGAAAGAACAAAGTTTGAACATTTCTCACTGGATAAAGTTGAGGACATGATATTCTGTCATGCAATACCACATTTCTTATAAAAAGGTGGACATATACATTAACAAGTCATTACAAAAGTGACCAAACTCTTATAAATATGAAATGCTGTGCACAATTACTATAAGTAAAACAGGAACAAGGTCATTATTCCTGTTAAGAAAACACTGCATAGCTGAATCACATACTTAAAATAGGTACTTGTCTGCAAAAAAAAAAAGTACATTCTCATATTTGCATTAAATATAATAGCCCTTCTGCCAATTCTGAACAAAGACAAATAAAAACTGCTCACAAGCCTCCATGAGATGGCAGTATAACCATACTTGTGGAGTATCGGACATTCACCATGTTAACCAGCACAGCTTTCCTACCAGCTGTATATATGTCTATGTCTCTTTGCCTACAATGAACAGTTACCCCCCGAACAGGGGCGGACTGACCATTTAAGCCCTCGGGCACTGTCCGAGGGCCCAGGGTCAGTAGGGGGCCCCATGAGATGCCCCTGGTACCTTTCATTGGCTTTTTCATAGGCTTTTTTGAGTGTGGGCCAGGACACAGGGGCCCCATGATCCCCTATTGCCCGGGGGCCCCATGACTTGTCAGTCCGCCCCTGCCCCCAATCACATCAAACCCTACTTTGAAATCGTGTGACTTACAGTGAGGTCGCACAATTTCAAAGTCCGATAACATGCTGATTTCAGGTGCGATTTGCAAGACATCTGATACAGATGACTATGCAAATCGCACCAAAAGTAGTGCATGTACTAATTTATAAATCAGTGCGGCTCCGACCAAGTCGGAACTGCACCAATATGACCGCTCTAATAGCGGACAATAGGCTGCGATTTGCAAGTGGAATGGCATGCAAATCGCATGCCAATTCGCATCCAGTGTGACTGGGGTCTTATCATGGATTCTTATCCAGTATAAAGTTGCTCAGGCTTATATTCCAAAATCAACCACCTAATCTACTGTTGCTGCTCTAAAACTTTGTATCATGTTAAAGGGCAACTGAAATGATATAGATATGGAAGCTACCACTTCTGATTCAGGGCAATTTGATATTGTAGCCAGCGTCGGAATGAACACACACATGAAGCAGGTGAAGCCTGACATTTTGTTCTGCATATTTGTTCCATGTCAATGGCTCATTAAGCGGTGAAGTCAAATATAAGGATGACAGCCATCAATTCTGGCGCAGTGGCAGCTTCCATATTTCTATTCTCACAAAAATTCCATTTAAACAGATAGACTATATGGGATATTTTCAATTAGATGCTGTTTAGGGCTCAGTTCACACTAGTGCGATCTTGCTTTTGATGCAATTTTAAGTGCAACTTTAGATGTGGTTAGCATATTCTATGGAGCCAATTCGCACTGAAATGGCAGCAAAGTAGCACACGAACCTTTTCCAAAATCACACCACACAGTTGCATTGATGTGAATGGCACCATTAAAAATAACGTGATTTCCTTTGTGATGTGATTCTGTGCAACTCAAGTCATATCAGAAATCGCATTAGTGTGAACCAGCACCAGGGAGTAAGTTGCTAGATTTTAGAGGCTTTCTAGTAAAGCCTGCCACAGAATCAGGAAACAGTAAGATGCGCACATATGAACATTCCGGTCATACCTGGCATGTATCTATAGGTGAGAACAGTTGATACCCCTAGCTCCTGAGGAACTGCAAAAACAATTGCTGCCCTACTAAAAATAATGGTGAAGAGCTATTTCAGCAATGGACGGTTGGCTCCTATGTAATGTGCAGGATTTCCATTGGATTGTGCATGGTTGTAACGAAGGTTATGGATTAACTAAGTGCTGTTATATCCATTCAATAAAAAGCTAATTGGTTTGTGTAATATGGAAGGAACTGTCAGGCCCTGCAATGGTTTAACACAGGGAAAACAGCAGCAAATATACCAAATTCCCTAACTTGTCCTATAACTTTCTCCATGGAGATCTGTAGGCTATGATGGTCTAAAGCTACCCACAAACAAATATCTCATGACTATGAGCACCTTAACAGATTGAGATTTCTGTTACCAATTGCCTCACTTAAACATGATTATTTAAATCAAAGCAGTTGCAAACATAGTTACATTTCTTGTCAATTCATAATTAGATCTCACATATAGCCATGGACTGATGACAGGGTATGGCAACTGTCAACAAAATGCTAATCTCATGCTCCTAAGCAATTAATAAAATTTGTGGCCTTGCCCTAATAAATCTGCACCTACAATTTGAAGAAAGTCCTATACATCCCAAACATAGTAAAATACCTGTGTTAGAAGCCACAGTTGGAAGCCATCATCTGACTCTGGGCTGCATACAAATTCTAAGGCAGTGATATCACTTGACATTGAAGAGTGCTTCATTGTCCAAGAAGTACCATGCAGCCCAGAGATCAAAAACAGACATCCACCTGAGGCAGACTCTCTTTAAGAGCCAGTTCACACTACAAAAGCACATTCCGGATACATTCTGGATATGTTTTTGCTTACAGTTCACACCACGCGCAGTTCCGGTGCAGTTTCAATGCAGTTTGCTATGTTTCAGTATGGTTCTGTGCAGAAAAAAAATGCAGAATGTTCTACTTTTTTTTTCTGCACTGGAAACTGACTGGAACTGACTGCATTAGTGTGAACTAAGGCCATTGGAATACATGGAAATTACTGTTCATGTATTTTTGATTCAGAAAAAAAGTGCACTGAACTGCATCTACTGTGAACTAGCCCTAAATGAATCCAGGACTGAGAAAGTTGTAAAGGCTGTAATTGCTGAGCTCTTTATGACTGACTATGTAAGATTTCTGTCTGCCATGCTGAATCCACTTCTTTAGTATTTTCTGAGACACTAACCTGGAACATACATCTGCAGATCAGGAATTCTGACTTCACTGTGATCTTCCAGTTTCTTAATACTTGTTCCAGGTCAGTGACTCAAAGTATTGACATCAGAGAGCAGCTAGTATTTTAAGAAGATGATCAGTAATGGTAACCTTACTTCTAGAAGTTTCCTCTAATTTGATGGTTAAACTACACAAGAGATATTAGCCTCTTGCTACAAAGCAATGTAAGCAGTTATATGGTCATTTATGATTTAGCACTTAGAGACCCCCCCACCAAAAAAATTGATTGAGTACCACTGGGATGAATTACATGTTGATTTCCTAAACCCTATGGGAATTCTGCTAGAAAGAATTACCTACCATAGTTTCTATCATTCTGTTGGTGGTAGGCCTTAACTTCTGACTTTATAATGCGCTTAAGGCTTGTTACCTTAATAAAAGAATGCTAAAAACCTTCTGTGCTGCATGTGTCCCCCCAGCGCACCCTTAAACATACCTAACCCGATTTTGTTCCAGCGATGTGTATGAGAGCAGTGGCTCTCCTGGCTCTCTCCCTCCTCACTGGACAGATTGATAGCAGCGCGATCAATTGGCTCCCACTGCTGTCAATCAAATTCTCTGACAAGGAAGAAGGGGCCAGGGCCGAACTGCACTGCCTATGTCAATGGACACAGACAAGGCAGCTCATGAGCAAGCCCATAAGAGTGCCCCATAGGAAATGGCTTCCTATGGGGGGCACTTGCTGAATAGGAGGAGCCAGGAGCACTGGTGGGGGAACTCAGAAGAAGAGGATTGGGGCTGTTCTGTGCAAAACTATTACACAGAGCAGGTAAGCATAACATGTTTGTTATCTTAAAAGAAAGAAAAAAAGAAAGCTTTAATGTTACTTTAACAACACAGTGCAGATTTCATTGTAAACTTTGTGAACAGCACCCTGACGTTTCTGAAGAAAGCAAATATTAAAATGTGCATAATTTTCATTTAAAAGACTACTCAGTCAACAAACATTTTTGAAATACAAGGCACCCGATTTGTGAAAATATGTTCAATTTTCATTTGCAAGCCTCATTCTTTTAGCAGCCTTTATACACGAAACCATGTGGTTCTAGCAAAATGTAAATAAATACAACTAGTGGGATATGCTAAAATTAGAAAATAATGGTATAATACTAAGGAGATCACTTTTTGAATGCAGTGAAACTCTTGCGGATGTGTTGTGGTGTAGAGGTGAAAATGGCCCAATGTGCAATATCCTGTAAAGATGTCCATTTTACAGGACGTAAGGAGGATCCCTCACCAGACCCCTCATCATCGTCTGTCGCGGGCTCTTGCAAGTCCTCGGGGGCAGCATGAGAATGATTCGGAAAATTCTTGCTGTCAGACACAGTCACTTGTGCTTGAGACCTCTCACCTGAGGTCTCTGAATGATGGACGGGACTCGAGGTAGTTAATCTCTTGTAAGGAATGTCACCTGTCTCATCTTCTTCATAGTCTGTGAAGCAGTACACTTCCTCCCGGTCCAGATCTAAGTTTCGGAAGCCTTTGGTAACAACACCAGGCCTAGGATCCAGAATGCCTCCAAGATGTGGTTGTGCCAACTGCTGCCAATGATGTAATGTTGCTGATCCTGAAAAGACAGAAAACTGGTGTTCAGTTACAACTAAACTTCATAGCAATATACCTTACAACATTATTAAAAAACAATGATCTAATCGTATGGTTTGCCCCAATTATAACAAGGCTCACTAAAGTTCCTCAGTATCTGAGCAACTTCATGACTATGGTTATCAAGCTCCACTCAGCAATGAGTCCAGCAAAAGGGTGGGATCAAAATATCAAAATACAGACATTAAAGTAAATAGTTGTAATATAATTGTATATAATGGTTTTAATAAATAGCTTATAATCAGTTGGGTTATATTCTAAACCAACCATTTTTCAATTTTAGGGTCCCTTCAGAGGTTCCTAGGAGTTCCTTGAGTAGTGGCTAATTGACCACCCATTTAATGGTGCCTGCAAAGTCCTAGGACCAAAGCCATTTGGCAGAGGTGGCTGCATGACACCAATGATCTGTCAGTAAGGGTGGTGTTCTGACCACTACTGTAAGGGGGGGGGGGCATTCTTCCCACTGGCCACCAATGTAAGGGGCATTTTCTCATGGATACCCAATGAATTGATATTAGCAGGGGTTCTCTCAGACATGAAAACTATATCCTTCGGGGGGGTAAATGTGTTGAGAAAGGCTGCTTTAAATGGATACATATGAAAATGGGTTTTCCAACAATCCACCATGATAGGTAAAGTGTATGTGCAGCTGAAAATTTTTCTTTTTAGTTTTACATAGAATAGGGAGAGTTTTTAGCTAGAGTAGGGAGATAATAAAATCCCCGTCTGTGTACTATTTTCTGCTGTGTCTTGTTATGTAGATTTCCCTTTATTTCCTGTCCAACAGATGCAACAGGCAATGACAGAAAACCAAAGTAAAGGGAATTCCTTTCTTATATAGTGTCAACTGAACAGGTGTTCTTATTGGAAGATTTCCCCAAATCTTCCGATCCGAGTGATATACTTAACATTTTGGATTTCTAATTTCATTCTGTTTGAGAGATATGGTCACTAGGAAACAGAGGGGAGCAAATCTACCGTTCAAAGAGACAGACAGTAATAAAAACCTGAATGGGGAAAGAACAAAGAGAGGGCGCACAGGCCTAGTGCATTACCATAAAAAATGTTTAATAAAAAATAAAGTAGGTGTTGTACTCACAAACGACAATATAGTCAAGGAACATCATAAAAGAACAGCTGCGTCAACACCGTGCTGAGTAACAGTCCGCAATAGGGAGTTTAGACATCCAAAAGCCTGACGCGTTTCGAGGACTTGCCTCTTCCTCAGAGCCTCTTGGCCTCTTTTATTATTGGCGGGTACAAGTACTGATACTTTCGGTCAAGTACTCACGGATATAGAGTACCGATACTTTACGTTGTACAAATTGCACTGCAAAGAATAACATGCGATTTGAACAGGAATGCGGTGTGTGATTCCTGTCCAAACCGCCTGCGGTTTCCCCAGTGCTCCTGTGTGAACCCAGGCTCATCACAGCTTGAGTTCACATAGGAGTGTTGTGAAGAAACCTCCCTGCACCAATCCCATGCTGTCACACAAGGAAAAGCTGCGTCACAGGTTTGGGGATTTAAATCCCTGTGGCTCTCTCTCTCCTTACAGGGATCACAGTATAAGCTAGACCGCTTCAGACTTGTCAGCACAGTGACGGTGCTGACCAATCAGAAGCCATCTAGTTCGTACTGTTATCCATGCAAGGAGAGCAAAGAAAGTCGACCTGTAAAGTGGCTTTTCCTTGTGTGGGAGCACAGGATTGGTAAACTGAGGTTTCCTGCATCACTCCTGTGTGAGCACATAGGAGCAGTGGGGAAAATGCATGCGATTTGGACAGGGATCGTACAGCATTCCTATTCAAATCGCATGCTATTCTTTGTGGAGTGATTTGTGTCCATACATTTTATATGGATGCGAATCGCACCGCAAAGTATCGGTTTCAGGTATCGGGAGAATTTTCACGAGTACAAGCACATGTGTGAAAATACTCGGTGCATCCCTACTCTATACAAAGCAAAAAAAGTTTTGACTATACAGAGGATTGATTTACTACTAAAACATGGGAAGTGCAAAATCTGGTGCAGCTCTTCATAGAAACCAGCTTCCAGGTTTAATTGTCAAAGCATATTTAAACAAGTAGAAGTTAGAAGCTGATTGGCTACCATGCACAGCTACATCAGATTTTGCACGCTCTAGTTTTAGTAAATCGACCCTATAAACTGTAAGAAATAATTTACAAATAATTAATAAAAAGTGCCTAAAATGTTTATATCAAACTCAACTACTTTGAATCTTTGTTTAGATATAAATGGCAACATCCCACACATCTAATATATACAGTAAAGCTTAGGGCTTGTTCACACTGAAAAGTTTGCATGGACAAGAAAATAATAGTAAAAAATAATAATTTTGACTGTGATGACATGAATTTGACCATACACGTCTAACTGAAAGAAACCCTTAGGCTCCATGCACACTGGGCGTTTTGACAACGCTGGTAACGTTAGCTATGTAAAGTCACATTAAAAACGTACATTTTTCAGCGGTTTTTATCATTTTTGCATTAGTGTTTAGTGGCATTTTTTCCTTTGCTCAAAAAAAAGTCCAAACCCACCAGTTTGTCACATTTTACCGTGTTTTTGAGCGTTAGAGCGTTTTAACAGCTAAAAAAACTCCTCCAGAAACCCACTAGTTCTGGATTTTTTTCCAGGCAAAAAACGCCCCTGCCAAAAAATTCTGATTACAGTCTATGTGTGCATGGAGACATAGGATAACATGCTGGGGAGTTTACTGGCTGTAGAAAAAAAAGCCAAAAACAGCAGCATTTTTTTTTTACATAGACTGTAATCAACGGTTTTTGGCAGGGGCGTTTTTTGGCTGGAAAAAAACCCAGGACTAATGGGTTTCTAAATGTTTTTTTTAGCTGTAAAAACGCTCTAACGCTGAAAAACACAGCAAAATGCGGTAGATCGTAAAACCAGCATTTTTGGAATTTTTTGGGTAAAAAAAACCCCTAAATGCTAAAAAATGCAAACGCGAAAAAACACGTCAAAACGCAGCTAAACGCTAATACAAAAGCGCTGAAAAACTCATGTTTTTTAACATGACTTGACACAGCTAACGTTACCAGCGTTATTAAAACGTACAGTGTGCAAGAGTACTTAAAGCGAAAGTAAACTCAGCTGCCAGTGCTCAGGGCTTTTTTTCCATAATGTTCAAGTTAAAACTAAATATTTCCACATTATGGCAGATCTAGGAAGTGCTTTTCCAGTGATGTGATGACCACGATCTCCCTTGTCGCTTAGTCACTGCTGATGACATGATGACATACAGTAACTTCCACATATGCAGGTAAGAGTTGCTTTATCCCAGCATCAAGACATGCCAAGAATGTACACTGAGCTGAGCATGCAACCCCAGCATACAGTTATCATTAGCACATGCCAAAAAAGAATGTACACTGATCCTGAGCTTGCAACATAGTTGAAGGTAAATCTAGAAATTGGGCAGTACAGTGTATAATGTCAGCCTTAGTGTACAGTGTATCGATACACCTGAATTGAACCCCTGATCCAGAGTTCTGTTACAGGCATTCACTTGTTTCCTGTCATTTAAATAAACACACGTGGCAAGCATGAGTGAGTTTCTGTGTTTGAAAATGTTTCTAACAATATTTCTAATCAAAATGTCGGCAGTCAGAAATAAAGTAACAGAATTTCCTGACAAGACAGATGTGAGTGGAATATAGTAATGTAAATGATTTACAGCATAAATACTGAAATATTGACAGCAAATAAAGTGAAAGTAAACCAAAAAATGAACATAAAGGAATTCGCATATAAAGAATATTTAACTGGTTTTATAAATACGTGTCCAATATGTGGGTTATATTCCGTCATCATCTCATAACATTTTATGAAAGTCTAAAATTAAAGCAGACTATTAATGATAAAAAAAAAAAAAAAATCACTTGAATTTATCAATAGGGCACAAATATGCATTAAAGCAAATCTATGCTCAAAATGTAAGATCATATATTCATTTCCATATTGTATTTCAGTTAATTCTAGCCTACTCCTATTAATCTGAACAATCTTTGACATTTGTAAACTTACTTTGCGATGTTCCCACACATTTACTTCTTTGCCGTACGCTGTACTCATGTTTACAAAGTGACCGCCATATGCACAAAGTACAGCAGCGTACAGCCATTCATGTCAGTGGCAGTCTGTATGCTGCACCCAGGCTAGCTGGACAGAAGAAATACACCAGCAATTATGTTGAATAGGCTCAGCCGCCCGTGTGCAAGAGCCTTAATGCATTATTTTCCCATGTGACACATCAGAAGGCTGTCCCCACACACAATTATTATGTATTTCGAGTAAACCTATTTTGAGTTATTATTTCACAGTTTGCTGAAATGAAAAATGAACAAAGCATATCATCACGTAGTTTGTACTTGCCTCAGTCCATAGCACTTATTTGATTCACACTGAATGATCGACAGAATGATCATATGATTATATGTCAAATTAATCTGTATGTGGCAAACCTTTACAGCAATCACACTGAGCAACTGGTAAGATAAGAAACTAGCAACAAAAAAAGTGGTTGATTTACTAAAGGCAGCTTCCTTTGAACACATGTGTGATGGATATAGTAAAAGATTTTTGCTAAAATATGTCTGGCTGATTGGACACAGATTGATCTTATTCTACTCCTCTATAGCCTCTACTTCTTCAGTAAACTAAAAACAATGGAAGATGGTTTCATAAAACTGGAGCACTCAAAATCTGGTGCAGCTGTGCATAGTAACCAATCAGCTTCTAACTTAAGCTTGTTCAATTAAGCTTTGACAATGAACCCTGGAAGCCGATTGGTGTCTATGCAGAACTGCATCAGGTTTTGCACTCTCCAGTTTTAGTAAATCTCCCGCAGTTAGTTCATTGCTTTCAATTAGTCTGTTGACTACCAGGCTTGGATTCAAAAAAGGAACAATAACCACAACGACTGTGCAGCACTACATATGTATTGCGCAAATACTATATGCCTGTATTATTACAACTTAACACAGAAACAAGGGGTTTTTAGAACATCATCACATATTGATGAGATCACTTACATCAAGCTAATTATTTTTTAGGTAACAATAGTTGAAAAGATTTTACATTTCCTTTCAAAGTTACACAAGTTCCTTTCACTGGGAGGCTGAAATCTCTGCATTGTTAAACAATTGTATGAAGAATCTTTATAGGACTTTCAAACACTGCTACTTACATCTGGCCCTGGGTGTTTTCCTTGGTGTCTGCATACCGTATTTGCCGGCGTATAAGACGACTTTTCAACCCCTGAAAATCTTCTGAAAAGTCGGGGGTCGTCTTATACGCCGGTATACGGCGAGCCGGTGTGTCAGGGCGGCACTTTTTCCAGGGGCGGTGTCCTCCAACGGACACTAAGTACAGGGGTGGGCAGAGGGGCTGCTGTACCTTACCTGGCTCCGGTCCTGGTCCCACGATGATCTGGTCCAGGAAGCGTGGCTGCTCCTTCTTTCAGTTCGGCCGCTCGATGGTCGCGCGGCCCGCTCGGGCTCCGCCTCCTTACCGGTGATTGGGCGCCAGCGCACACAGGCGACCAATCACCGGCGAGGAGGCGGAGCCGAACGGCCCCGTGAAAATCAAGCTGCAGAACTGAAAGAAGGAGCAGCCGCTCCTCTCCCCCACTGACACCAACGATGGGGCACTATTCCTCCTCCACACTGACACCAACGATGGGGGCACTATTCCTCCCCCACTGACACCAACGATGGGGCACTATTCCTCCCCCACTGACACCAACGATGGGGCACTATTCCTCCCCCACTGACACCAACGATGGGGCACTATTCCTCCCCCACTGACACCAACGATGGGGCACTATTCCTCCCCCACTGACACCAACGATGGGGCACTATTCCTCCCCCCACTGACAACAACGATGGGGCACTATTCCTCCCCCACTGACACCAACGATGGGGCACTATTCCTCCCCCACTGACACCAACGATGGGGCACTATTCCTCCCCCCACTGACAACAACGATGGGGCACTATTCCTCCCCCACTGACACCAATGATGGGAAACTATTCCTCCCACTGACACCAATGATGGGGCACCATTAGTGTCAGTGGGAGGAGTAGTGCCTCATCATTGGTATCAGTGGGAGGAATCATGCCCCATCATTGGTGTCAGTGGGAGGAATAGCACCCCATCATTGGAATACCATACTGAAATACCATACCATATTGAAATCAAATCTGATGTTTTTTCATTTTTATTTGGTGTGCGTTGGAAGAGGGGTAGTCTTATACGGCGAGTATAGCTCAAACCCTATATTTTAACAGGAAAAGGGGGGTCGTCTTATACGCTCAGTCGTCTTATACGCCGGCAAATACGGTAACTTGAACACTCTGTCATAAACTAAACAACTCTGCCATGTCACCAGATTACTCATTTCTTCCCCACCACTAATTGAGGGAAAGATGAATGCAGCAATGTACAGAGACATCCTTGATTTAAACCTGTTCCAGAGCGCTCTGGACCTTAGACTGGGACGACGGTTCATCTTTCAACAGGACATCAACCCTAAGCACACAGCCCACATAACAAAGGGGCTACGGACCAACTCTGGAGTGGCCCAGCCGGAGCCCAGCCTTCAACCTGATTGAACATCTCTGGAGAGATCTGAAAATGGCTGTGCACTGACGCTCCCCATACAACATGAAGGAGCTTGAGAGGTACTGTGAAGAAGAATGGGAGAAATTGCCAAAAATAGGTGTGCCAAGCTTTTATTTTATTGAAAGATTTTTTAACAACACAATAAAGTACGTTGCAAAGGGTTGACAGTAGGCTTTCGCATTAGGTGTACATAACATAAGTCCCCACCAATTGGCTGGGGGTGTTATAGATGTAAGTCGCTATGATGTGAACCGTATTTGGGTAGACATAAGTTACATAGAGAATAAGGGACGGGAAAGGGGGGGGGGGGGGAGAAGGGGAAGGCACCAGTCAAGTGCTGAGGTCTTGGTGCGATATGACTATATATTAATAATTTTATGCGCGCAATTGGGGTTTTGTAACCATCGAGACCACTGGGTTTTGAATCTATGATAAGAGGAGTGTGCCAAGCTTTTAGCATCATACTCAAATGAGGCTGTAATTGGTGCTAAAGGTGCTTCAACAAAGTATTTAGCAAAGGCTGTGAATGCTTATGTACATGTGGTTTTTTTCATTTTTTTATTTTTAATAATTTGCAAAGATTTCAAAATGAACTTCTTTCATGTTGTCATTATGGGGTATTGTTTGTAGAATGCTGAGGAAAAAAATTAATGTAATCCATTTTGGAATATGGCTGTAACATAACATAATGTGGCAAAAGTTAAGGGCTGTGAATAGTTTATGGATGCACTGTACATTGTGGTTCAGTCTGGATCTGTCTGAAAAACTGACAGACTGAACCACAGACTCATATGAAAGGGCCTAAGAGTGTTGCCCAATGTCACAAACTGGAGTTTTAGTGACAAGTAAAACTTATAAAAATAAAATTGCACACAGTCATCTGTGATAGAGAAAAAGCCAGAAACATGCACCCTAAAACACACAAAAGAGGATGATTAAAAGTGATCAACTCTCTTTGCTCTTCAGAGCCTAATCACACTTTGACACACACATTTTTGGTGCTTTAACAAGCAGCTACACACCAAAATACACCCTTTCACCCCTTTTTCTCAACATACCACAACACAAACCATGTGTTTTTTAAATGTATGCATCGTAGTGTGTTAAAGACCAGGTGTGTTTAGTGCATGGCTACACATTGAGGGCCCATTAGAAATGAATGAGCAAACATTGCAAAGCATATACACAATGTCCTGCGCAAAGTGTGTGAGCATACTAATGCTCACACACAAGTGTGAGTACCAAAAATAACAAATGTCATGTTTGTGGAATTTATTGATTTGTGCTTTGAAAATTTAAAAAAAAATGTATTTCTCTTATGTGACTGCTGCACCTTCATGTAGTATATGAAGAGAGGGCCCCCTCCTTCCACTTTATCCTATACACAGCAACACCTCAAAGCTGTGGGATTTACAAAATTATTACATAGAGGGATTTAAAACAAACAATAGGCTCCTCAGTTACGTCTACATTGAACATTATAAGTACATCTCCATTGCAAAGTAGGGATGTGGCAAAATTTGAAGAAAGTTTTGCCAAAAGTGTGTTTTTTCCCCTTTGGCAAAACTTTGCCAAATTTTCACTACTCACCTCTAATCACAGATTAAGGATCTGTATACACGCGGTTTTTGTTTGTGGCAATGGCAATGCAAAAGCAGTTTCAACTAGCTTAGGAGGAGGTTTAAATGCAGGTCAGAAACACTGGTTTACAAGATCACAATGAACTCAGAAGGGTCTCAAACGGACAATAAATGCAAACTGAGTGCAAAGCAAGGTACTTTTACCCATCTATAGAAAAAAACCTATGGGGTTGATTTACTAAAGGCAAATAGACTGTGCTGTTTGCAAGTGTATTTGCTCCAGAGATTAGTAAATGAGGGGTAGCGCTGCTGGCCTCCATCATCCAATCATGTGCAAGCAAAAATGCTGTTTTTTTTTTATTACTATTATAAAAATTCTTGCATGTGATTGGGTATTCTTTGTAAAGTGAATCTTTACCTAATTTACTAAGCTCTGGAGCAACTGCATGTGCATAGTGCACAGTCTATTTGCCTTTAGTAAATCAACCCCTATATGTTCCTTTGTGAGTTGATATAATTCTATAAGACCCAGGTTGGAAGATTCCCCAGGCCTCCTATAAGTTGAATCAGTATTTTATGATATGCAGAGATTTTAATATAGGGATCGATGCATCTATATACACTACCTTTAGCAACATAGGAATGAAAGGGAAGCTCAGGCATGCAAAGCCCTGACATTCTGCTGCAAATCCTTACAAGGTATACATACCATTGGTTAAAGCACTTAGAACACACCCTGAACATTGTTTGTCTCTGACCTGGAAGCATGATCAAGGTGAAGGCAGTAAAGAAAAAAAAAAGAATGAAATGGAAATGCAGAAATAAAATATGAAAATAAGAATACAGACTATAACTCAATACAAATTAAGATTAATCATACCTATAAATCTCAAATCACAATATAAAGGGGCATAAAATAAAACAATTTTGATATACTTTCCAGAAGATCAGACACACGCTGATCATATTTGGTATCAAATTTATAGCATTCAAGATAAACTGCAGAAGGGTGAGAACTATGTCAGGTTTTTATTGCTCTTGGGGCTCTGTAAACAGGATTTGCCTCTTATTTCCTGTGAGGTTCAAATACTTCCCCCATGGTTTAGAAAGCAGAAATGTCAACTGCCCACATGAACCATATCTATATGCCCCTATTATATTGTGGGTAAGCAAACTGACAAAGCAAAACATAAAGAGTACAAAGGGAAAAGAGGAAAACAAAGTGAAGATGAAAGAAACGTAACAGATTTTATTGAAAGATTAGAAGAGATACAAGAGCAAACGGAATTACATGATGTCCAATAAGGCCAGCAGGTAAACACACAGCAGAATGTAAATAAATTACAGAAAAGCTAAAAAGTGCTTGCAGTAGAAACATTTAAAGTGCTTTTTTTTTTGTTTTTACAACAGAAGCCATGAAATAATTTTACTAAAGCTTCTAGGCTTTTCTGTTTTTCTAAATCTTCAAAAACATGGCAAAAAAAATATGAAGTACTATGAAGACCATTTATAAATATAGCTTAAAACATAAGTGAAGTAAAAGGTTATGTATTCACGTTGACTGCGCTTTGAAATGAAAGGCTCTTCATTTATCTAAAGAAATGCTTCAATCAATGACTAAAAAGCCATATATTTCTAATCATATTTTATATCACGCAATAGTGAGATGGTCATCAAGGTACAAAATTCAAAGTGCTTTTCAATAAGTGCACGTTTCAATGATTCTGCCAAGTTACTCAAAAAGGACTGACGTAAGGGGCAAAGTAGTCAACATTAATACAGCGTTGAACACCTAAATGAGCAAAGGGCAACATAAAGGTCTACTAAATAACCCATCTGGCATTATTATTATGCATTTCAGAGGTTGCATAATTTGCAAATTGATTAATTTAAAGTAGACCTGCACAAATTTCAATGGTTTGGCTCTCTGCAGCCGGCCCACCTTCCGCTGCACACATATATATATATATATATATATATATATATATATATATATTTTTTTTTTTTTTTATTGTTTTTTTTTTCCTAATTTAGTTTTGGGACACGCCCCATTCTCTATCATTTGCCTAGGTGAATTATGTCAGTGCCCCTGGAGCCTCCTAAAACATGTGACATGTATATCCCAGAAGGTACCAGGAGCTTGGCATGTCACCCCATTCACCAGCAGAAGGAGGGGGGCAGGACTAACAATACATCACCAGTAGGCTGTGCCAGAACCAAGAAGAGCTGGTGCAGCCTCCCAATGACATCACAGTTAACATGGCAGAGAGGATCCCAGCGGTGGCTGCAAAGAAGAGGATCTCATCCGGACAACGGTGGATCCTCTGTGCGCGTGACTATTTGAAGTATGGACAGCTCAGCATCATGTAAGCGAAGGAGCAAGAAAAAAAAACTATATGGGGAGGGGGGGTGGAGGGTGAAACACTTCTTTAATTAAAATACTCTTAACAGAAAATTTCAGCAAATTCTGTTTTTTAAAAATGTTGTGTGTGCACATTTCCACAATGATTTACTTATAGGGTACACATTTGCTCATCATTTTGCCTTACGGTGGTATTAAAAGTCAGCCAAAAAATAAAAATGTAACAAAAGTACCCTTATATTCTAATGTTGTATTACTTACTAATAAAGATACATACAATATTAATATTGTTATGAACAACAGTATTTATGATAACTAATAAAACATCTGTCCCCTACAGGGCAATGTACACACTGCATCCTATTAAGCAGTGCTCCTCAACCACTGACTTTTAAGCTGCAGTTTGGGGGGAAGCAAAAAATGTGTAGTTGAGCTTTCATTTTAAGTTGCAATAGGTAGTGGATAGGGAAAGGGGGGGGGGGGGGTTACATGCATCGTGCCCTTCGCAAAGCTTACTCAAGATGTAGTAATTGGCAAGCCCACCGAACATTCCACACTCAAGTAAATGGGTTGCGGCAGGTTTGGTATAAAAAAGGGAGTTAACACAGGATCGCATTGCTGCTTTGCCACCTGTCAGTAGATCCAAATGCAGATCAGGCTTCAGCAGAAAGGGAGATTTAGAGGCATGTGCTGCCTTTGAAGTCTGGCTGTCTGAAGTCCTGCTGTATTAAACACATTCTACGTAATGTAAAATGGAGCTCAACACCCTTTACTTAGATTTTCCCCTTAGTGGACAGGTAATCTTTCCAGAGACACAAACAGGCATTTTTTTCAGGACAGTGGAGAAGAGTTAAAACCACTGTCAGGTTTTATTACTATGTCCCTGTTATGGGAGAGGCTTCCCCTTACTTAATTCCTGGTGACTGACTGTCAAAGTGTCACAGAAAGTGTTCCCAACAAATACAAACCAGACAGGGGTTCTAATCTGTCACCACTCTGTTTCTTCTCCTGTGCTTGTTTGTTCAGTAAGGCAGAACAAAGTGTATTAAGGATGTGTTAAATATAGTAACCCAAAGCAAACATTTCATTTAAAAAAATAATAGTCAGTAGTTATGGCTAGAAGATTACACATCCATAATTATTTTTTCTTTATAACTGAAAATTTATGTATTGCTCACAAGCTGAGAAAGGTTGTAAACTCTGCTATATAGCATAAACTCTAAAAGACCTCAAACCAACATCGAGGATGGCTATCTCTAAAATAGAAAGAGTGTGAGTTATGTAAAGGGCCTGCTTTTTGGTGATGTATCAAAGACCACAGAGAGTCACTAAGGAAAACATAAAAGGGCCGAGGCCCCTTGTCACCTTCTAGGGGCTTCACGATCTGCAGTTTCTCTGGTAGGTAAGAGCGGCTGCTGAAGGACATTCCTGAGATTCCAGTGAACTCTGACAACCTGGAAGAGTGGGTGCCCAGGGACATGATGCTTTCTGTAGGTGTTAAAGACCCACTGCGGAGCTCTTCCTTCTCAGCAAGACTACGCAGCTTCCGCTCCTGATCATCTTCAAAGAACTTGCGCTCTAGGATGTAGTTCTCTCGCCGAAGGGACAACCGCCGCAAAGCTGTCTCCAGATCGTTAGAGCCCGGAGTACCCGGCGTTCCTGGCTTCTTGTTCTTATCATCACTAAAGACAAGAAATCAAAAGTATATAATGAACAAAGTGGGGAAAAATAGGGATTATTTCTTTTTTGACATAACACTTAAAAATATAATATTGCACAGCATATCTACAAAACTATATCCATGTAAAATAACTTCAGTAGAAGGAGCTTACTCTCCAAATTTATTCTATTGTTTTAGGTTAAGGGAAGTGGAGGAGAGAGATTATAATTATATACTTATATTCAGCAATCCTACTTTTTAGAGTGGGTACTTTATAAAGAATATATGGTTTTTCATTTTTAATATATTTTTTTGTTCGTTATATTCAGCAATAAAATAAGATTTTAGCAGGTTTTTTTAAATATCTTTGAGTAAAAAGGAAAATTGCACTTAAATATTGCATATTTACCATGGGTAGTCAAAGTAGGATTGTGTACAATTACCTTTACTTTACATACTTGCCTATTTAGCAAAACCCAGCATTATCCTGGGCTTTGTTAATGGACACAGTATGTAATCTAAGGAGATGGCATTTTGCAGATCTGTCTGATCTCTCTTGATACTTACCTAAGGAGACTCTGAGTAAGCAAAGCTATTTAAGCAAAGTATTTCAATTAAGCCTATACAATTATTTCAAAATAATTTATATATAATGCATAGCCCCATTTATAAGCAACTGTCTGAATAAAATTTGTCTAGACTCCAACACAACCCCCAGTCAAATAGAAACCTAAACTGAAAAATCACATTTGGAGAATGAAATGTGAACCAGACTGATAGCCAATACAGATATTGCTTACATGAAACACCATATAGTGATTTTTGCCGATACAAGCTCAATTTACAAAGTTAAAAAATCAGGTTAAGGGCATGTGTTTATTTTGTTCACATCAAATCTGCTTCTTTCCCTAAACACACCTAGCAAAAGCAGCTTGAAAGCAGGCTAGGAGGAGATAATCTGCAGGTCAATTACACCTGTTAATAATTCTGCATGAACCCAGAATCTTCTTAAAGGAGAAGTTCACCTTTCTACAAAAAATAAATAATAAATGCAAATTTTCTTGTAGGTAAAAAAAATGGGGGGGGGGTGGTATTTGGGCAATGGCACCCTAAAAATGGGTGCAGCATGTAACGTGTTCCCAAAGGTGAACTTATCCTTTGCACTGTCAAACACAAGCTGCATTTATCCATCAACACAAGCCCACAAAATCCTTGTTTTAAGAAAAGCAGCAACCATTTTCAGCTGAGATCAGTGAAATTTAATAAATTACGACCAGCATGTTGGATTTTTTTAGTTTGCGATTATTGTCAATGATGTACCCCCCCCCGCTGACAACACAATAGCTCCATGGGCTGGGGGATTCCCCCATCAACACAAGGAATTGAACGATTTTCTGTCCTGTAACCACAGGTCACCGAACCATCAATGGCCTGCCTTAAAGAAAAATAAATGTAAGAGCTCTGCTAATCACTGCATTCATTGTGTGTATTTCACTCAACTAACCTGTTGTCAGTTGACTCTGTTTCCAGGATAATGCTATTAGTTTTGTTATCAATAACTATGTTGGAGATATCCCCTCCATAGAGGCTGGAGCGTGGTGTGCTGACACAGCTTGACATTAGAGAGTTCATAGCAGATGACTGGTTAGAGCCTGGGATGTTCATTGGAGAAGGAGCCAGAGATCTCTGCTTTACTACCTGGTTCACGTTCTTCACGGTATCAAACACACGCTTCTGATGATTGCCACTAAGAGAGAGAAGGATGGGTCTCATGTCAATCATTCTTAATATTCATCAGTAATGCACCATAATTTGCACTCTAGAACCTGATTAGGTTTATTCAGAGAGACAAAGAGAAATATGTAAACGGAAGTTATCCAAAATAAAGAGAATTCGTTTTTCAATTCTTGGACATCAGTAATATGAAATATGATTGGCTGCTATGTATTGCTGAACTTTGCACAACAACATTGTTCTATATAATGCCTTATTTAATGACATATGGAGATTATATGACTTACATTTTTCAACTAATGTAAAAGCTTAAAGTAATAGAATTATGGCTTAAAAAGTAAAGATACTTTTAACAAAGTATAATTAATATTTGCCCCCTGACAAATGGGCACCATTTACAGAATACCTTGCATTTGTCCTTAGTGAATGTAGGTCATTCTCTAAATGGACAAGGTGAAGAGACAGGGTACTGACATCATGATCTTCAACTCATCCAATCTTAGAGTGCCTTGTTTTCATTTGCACTACAGTACAATATTTTGTCCCCATAAAGTTGGTCTGACAAAGGATAATTCCATAAACCAGTTTTTAATTAGGAAATATTGCCTAATTAGGAAATGGACTTTGTATGGGTATGGGAGAAAAGAATTACCGTATTTGCCGGCGTATAAGATGACTTTTTGACCCTTGAAAATCTACTCAAAAGTCGGGGGTCGTCTTATACGCCGGTATACGGCATACTGACACTTTTTAGGGGGGGGGCGGCGCAGTGCCGCCGCCCCCCCCCCCCTTCCAACAGAAGGGACACTAAGTACAGGGGTGGGCAGGGGCTGGTGTTTCCTACCTGGCTCCGGTCCCACGACGATCCGGTCCAGGAAGCGCGGCTGCTCCTTCGGTTCGGCCACTGGATGTTCGCGCGGCTGCTCGGCTCCGCCTCCTCACCGGTGATTGGCCGCCAGAACTGTAGCTCAGGAAAGGCACACAGGCGGCCAATCACCAGCGAGGGGGCGGAGCCGAGCGGCCCCGTGAAAATCGAGTGCAGGAGCAGCAGGTAAGTGTGCCGTGTAGAGGTGCTGCTGCAACCACATATGCTGGCTGCAGCAGCACCATACTAGAACAGGGTCAGCAAGTGTCATTTGTGTCAGTGGGAGGAATAGTGCCCCATCACTGATACCAATGATGGAGCACTATTCCTCTCACTGACACCAATGATGGGGCACTATTCCTCCCAATGACACCAACGATGGGGCACTATTCCTCCCAATGACACCAACGATGGGGCACTATTCCTCCCCCCCACTGACACCAACGATGGGGCACTATTCCCCCCCCACTGACACCAACGATGGGGCACTATTCCCCCCCCACTGACACCAATGATGGGACACCATTCCTCCCACTGACACCAATGTTGGGACACTATTCCTCCCACTGACACCAATGATTGGGACACTATTCCTCCCCACTGACACCAATGTTGGGACACTATTCCTCCCACAGACACCAATGATGGGGCACTATTCCCCCCACTGATACTAATGATGGGGCACTATTCCTGCCACTGATACCAATGATGGGGCACTATTCCTCCCACTGACACCAATGATGGGGCACTATTCCTCCCACTGATACCAATGATGGGGCACTATTCCTCCCACTGATACCAATGATGGGGCACTATTCCTCCCACTGATACCAATGATGGGGAACTATTCCTCCCACTGATACCAATGATGGGGCACCTATTCCCCCCACTGACACCAATGGTGGGGCACTATTCCTGCCACTAATACCAATGATGGGGCACTATTCCTCCCACTGACACCGATGATGGGGCACTATTCCTCCCACTGATACCGATGATGGGGCACTATTCATCCCACTGACACCGATGATGGGGCACTATTCCTCCCACTGACACCGATGATGGGGCACTATTCCTCCCACTGACACCAATGATGGGGCACTATTGCTCCCCTGGTGTGCATTGGAAGAGGGGTAGTCTTATACCGGGAGTATAGCCCAAAAACACTACATTTTAGCAGGAAAAGTAGGGGGTCGTCTTATACGCCCAGTCGTCTTATACACCGGCAAATACGGTAATCAATTCCTGCTTTATCAAATAAGCATGGCTTCTGAGTAACACTGATGGTTATTTGATTTATCAGCATTGTAAAATGTGTCCTACTTCATTTCAAGGGAGTCCGGCTCATCTATCTGAAGTTCTTTCCTCATGGATCCCTCTATCTCAGCTGCCAAGGAGTCCTGCAATATAACAAGAATGAGTCATTAGAAGGGTAGTAGATCAATCTGAACACCACATTATGCATAATACCTGCTACTGACTGTATAATGACAACCATAGAGATGAAAGGGCAAACACTGATAGCGAACACTACTAAATTATAGTCATGAGGCTTATAGTCAACACTTCCAAATAATATGATCAATGAAACCACAAAAAATGAGGTAATGCTCAATAAAATGCTGATGAGACCCCATGTGATTTCAAATGTGTGTTTTCATATTGTGCATTACATCAAAACTGGTGGCTATTGAGTGAGATAGCATAATTCACCATAGTCTGGTGTTGAGTAAGAAAAAGAACAATAATGTCAGTCATTAAGTTAGGTCATGCCAATTCTATATAAAATATTCCAATAAATTGCAGAGAAAAAGACAATTTACACTGCACTGTTTTCTAATTTAGTATTCCAGTAATAAAGTATCTAAAATTACATTTACTGTAGAATCTAGTTTTAAGAACTGTTAAATGCCTTTACATTAACTAAAAGTTAAATTAAAGGTAGGCGCTGATAAAGGATAATAAAAACCTTTTTTTCCTTTAGTAATAAAATCACTAGAGGAAATGGGGTAGTATTGAGGAAGTAAGTTTACACAATACCAAATAAATGTGTTAGGGTCAAAACAGAAGTACAACATACATTTTAAAAAGAAAAGTATAGTTTATTTTCAGACAGAGTATATTATTACTTATTTCTTTCCCCCATGAAGCCCTTAAGATCCTAGGCATTGTTGAAGTTAAGAATAAGTCCTGTAATTTAGTTAAGAATAAGTCCTGAAATTTATCTGTCGAATATCAGAGCCTCTACTGGGGATACAGGGTTGAATTTAATGTCCAACACAGATACCTGCAGGCAGCACAAGATGCTTACACTTCAGTACTGTTGTTACCTTAGAAATGTTTTAGACCATATCAGATTAATTGCGACACATTGTACTTAGATGCTAAATAATTAGAGTAAGTACTTCATACATGAAAATAATATGAACACCAGCACATCTAGTCTAGCGAGAAAAGTAAGGTATATCACAGCCAATACTGGGAGAACAAAGCTGCGATTTCTGAAAGGGAAACACCCCACTGTGGTCAACAGGCATTTAACAAGGCATTCAGAGACAACTGCAAGAGACCAGTTAAAACAGAGTCACATGATTTATTCCTATAGAGTGGGCACAGCTTAGAAATCAATAATAAAATCAGTAAAAATACTGCATTCATTAAAAAAAAATTCTTACCATAGGAAATACACCTATGTTGTGATATCGTCGGGAAATTACATTTGGCATGGTTTTTATTTCTAAGGTTCTTAAGCTCCTCCTGTGCCTCATGAAGCATTTCCATGCACTCAGCATACTTGTCCTCCAGCTCCCGCAGCTGTATACAAAAGAACAAGCATTAATTTGCCAAAAAAGCGGATATTAATTTGGGTACAATCAGTGTGTGAAAATATGGTTATGTGGTTAAACGAGGATTGTTCCATTGGAAATCAGTAGTGCAATGTCAGGCTCCTGAAGACACTGCCTCCAGCTAGCCCACCTGTAGCTCCATACAGGCAGACAAAAGCTGGATGTAGTGTCAATGAACTACAAGTGCACCAAGTGCTCTCACAGTTCATTGATTACTAAAATCCACAAGAAAATTCCTCACCTGCTGTCACGGGGAAAGGGCTGGAGCATGTTACACATTACACCCTAAACAAGGGTATACTGTATAATATGCTCCAAAAGGTGAACCAATACTTTAATTTCATCTTCAATGCCTTCTATCTGAATTTCAGCTAAATAATTGCTCTACGACGACGTATTAGCATTACCCTTGCAGTTTAGCCAGACATACAGAATAAAAATGTGTCAACAACAATATGCCCTACTGAACCACTTTCTTTTTTGTTTCCTGAAAAACATATACAGGTAGGCAGATATCCTGTGAGTTTGCACCTGCACAGTGAGGACTAAAACTAAACTAAGAAGGCTAAACTAAAAGACAATAAGCAGAATCCAGTGGAGCTTTCTTCCAACAATTGTGTTCTAAGAATTTCCCCAAATATACAGCCTAAGTATTATACTACTCTGTCAAATCAGCACCTGATAACCAAAATTGGTCAGGCTATTATTACTAGGAAAACATTCTGAAAAAGCACAATTTATACCAACCAGTCAGAATAAAAATATATAATAGTAAGAGAGCTCATTCACAACAAGTGCACTTGGCTGTGTTGCTCAACGCAAGCTTAATGCACTGACCAACTGAAATCCACTGTTTTCAAATCGGTCCAATGTACCGAGTTGCTGTGTCGGTCGTGGGTGAGAATGGAGCATGCTGCAGTTAAACTACCACATCACAGCGCACTTTAAGGTGCATTATGGAAAGAAAAATAAAATATTTTAGCCACTGTTGTGAACAAAAACAAATTGCACATACATGAGGCATTTAAAAAAACGCACGTTAATGTGCATCAACTCAAGTGTGTTTAAAATGCATTAACAAGCACTTAACACAATGCAAGTAGTATGCATTCCATCTGACAGCTACTGCTGAAGCAATCATTGATATCGGACAATTGCTGGCCCTTCAATTGTCTGACCTTGCAAACGGTCTCCCACCGCCAAGTCAGGTAGTTAGCAGGTTTCCCTGATATTCTGGCATAAGCTTGGCCAAAAGAACACTGAAAAAAGGGAGAAATCTAAATCCTCCATACACAAGCCAGCAAGATTACAATAAATAAGTCTAAAATATTCATATTCCTGTGATGGATTCTCTTGAACATCATAATATCTTTACCTCTGCTGTAAGTTGCCGCTGAGCATCTTTAGCAGCTCCTAAGTGTTGCACCAGTTCCTCGTTTTCCACTGCATACTGAAAGTAAACAGATAAATATAATGCACTCACAAAAACACTGTAGGATTTTAAAAATCAACGCACAGAGTAAAAAATAATAGTAAAATAATATTCATCTTAAAGCATAAACTCCATAATCCTTTTACCACGGAAACAGTGCCAAAAAAGCGCAGTAGAGGCCCAAGCACCAGTCACCAGTATTGCACTTACTGCTTTTGCTTTTTTCTGAATATCAACGATCTGTGATAAAAGATGAGTGATCTCTTCCTGTTGTCGTGCTGCATCTTCCGTCTTCTTTGCCAATTCATCCGATATGTTTGCAATCTGGATATTTGCATCCCCTAAAATACAGCAATAATATTAAAAAGTAATCTACATTATTATTAAAGGAGAGCAGAGAAATAAAAAACAACAACAACAACAAAAACAACAACTGGAACCAGATAATCCAAGTATGTAGAAAAAAAAATTTGAAAGATTTTGCATGTTGTCAGCATTGAGTAACTTTAAGATGAATTACATTACTTACGTTACTTGAAGTCAATCAGCCCACTCTCTACCCCGGAGGACAAGAAGTCCTCTAATGCTGAAAAATTTAGTTACAAAGCAGTAATGTTGACTTCTTACTAGCCTGTTAAAGGTCACACGATGGCCAGTGGCAGGTTCACAACTACGCAGGTTACAGTTGGTGCTTTTTTTCTGGTTGTTGGTTTTAGTGGTGGTAGTTTTGGGGCGCAGTTTTTTTTCATGTGCGTTTATGTGTTTTGCACCTTTGGGATACGTGAATACTGCTAGGGGGAGGTGTCTGTTGTCATGCAGGAAACACACCAAAAACACATGGACATGCATTTGCAAGTGCTTTTTGGTGCAGTTCCATTGTAGTCTATTGAACCTAAAATGCAATCTGCTGTGGGTAAAAAAAAAAAAAAGTATCTGGCTCTTTCCAAAAAAGGCACCGATGTGAACCAGAGCCATGGGAAATTATGTTAAATGGAGTGGTAGTGTTTCTAAAAATGAGCAATGCACTGAAAACCGCATAGGTATGAACCTAGGCTAATGATATCTTTGGAATGACACCCAGCCATTGGGTAGAAAAAAAAAAGAAACACAAATAGGGATTTAGGTACATCATATATGATGTGGAGTTTTTAGAAGGAGTGTTGTACTGATCTTTCATATGCTATTCTTGCTTGTTATGGTCAAGAGTTAAATGATTTTTGGAATATCACAGATTAACATATTGCATTTTCATTCCCTGTGCTCCAATAATCATGTTTTCAAATCTATCCTTATCTGTTTTAAGGGACCTATTTAAGAAGATCAGTAACTCAGGAGGAAATTCAACACACATAACTGAATGATTTGGAGCAGTGAGACAGCCTGAATGCAAACGACTTCCGCTTTGTCCTCCATTTAGAAGACCTCTGCGAATGGGTGCACGCAATATTAAATGCTTACTGGTAAACCAAAGACAGTATCAGTGTAAAAACCAAAAGTTTCATGTCTAGAATGGATAAATCTACATATAAATTAAAAAAAAAAAAAAAAAAAAAAAAAACCTTTAAAAGAGTTTATGGAAGCTTTGTTTGACAGTTAAAGCATATAAAATCCTGCTCATCTTCTGGTAATCCTATGCATATTGTGGTAGAAGGTTATCCCAGTAAACCCTTAGGTGCTGATTTACTAAGGCTAGAATCACACCTATGCAGGTTGCGCTTGAGCCGTTTTTGCATTGCGTTTTGCGTTGCGTTTTTGCACTTCCGTTTATGATGTGGTTTCCTTTTTTTTATTTCTTGTTGCTAGGCAGATTTAAAACACATCAAAAACACAACACATGCTTTTCTGCAGCGTTTCCATTGAAGTCTAAAGAACCAAAAATGCAACTTTTTGCATTAAAAAAAGTCCCTGAACCTTTCCAAAAAACACACTGAGTGAAAACGCACAGGTGTGAACATGTCCCATGGGAAATCATGTTACATGGACAGTTCTGCATTTCTGTAAAATGCAAAATGCTGAAGAAAAGACTTAGTTGTGAACCTAGGGTAAGACTGGAAAGTGCAAAATCTGGTGCAGCTGTGCAAGGTAGCCAATCATCTTCTACCTTCAGCTTGCTCACTTAAGCTTTGCCAATAAAACCTGGAAGCTGATTGGTTTCTATGTAGAGCTGCACCAGATTTTGCACTCTCCAGCTTTAGTAAATAACCTCCATAGTAATTACCACATAACTGCAAAGATGGCAAGAGTGGGAGAATATTCTAAGGACCACCTAACTGCAAAGATGGCAAGAGTGGGAGAATATTCTAAGCACCACATAATTGCAAAGATGGCAAGAGTGGGAGAATATTCTAAGCACAGCAACCAGGCAGTAAGGCTGAAAAAAATGCATCCTCAACCCACCTTGTTACAGTACTTCCACTAAGTTGTAATTCTTGGTAGATGTACAAACCTTACTCAGTTTTGTTGTTTGAAGTCAACATACCTAGCACATTCAGTCTAACTATTAAGCATACACATTATTTGAAAGTGTAAGAGTGACCTACTTAGCTCTTTTACGCAGTCATTAACAAGTTGCTGCTCTTTCTCTTCATATGTGATGGTCTCTGTTTCCAGGTGACATGCCTGAAAATATGACAGTATATTAGAAAGCCGTGCAAATCAAAAACATAATAAAATAATGAGGCTGAAAAAAAATGGGGCAGCCTAAAAAACAAATTCTTTAGAGGATTACAGCAGTCTGGCATGTTTGTAAGCTGCATGCTAAATGTATTTTTTTTTTTTTAGGCCAGCTTGGAAAGAAAACATTACAAATAGCCTTATATCATACACAATAACATCAATAACTGTAATTCATTTTCGTTCATTCATTTCATGTGCTTATATAGTCTGTCAATTTACGCAGCACTTTACATATCTATACTGTACATTCACATCAGTCCCTAACCCTCAAGAAGTGTACAGGTCCCTAACCTTCATTCATACATACACATACTAGGGCCAATTTAGACAGGAGCCAATTAATCTACCAGCATCTTTGGAGTGTGGGAGGAAACCGGAGAATCAGGAGGAACCCACGCAGGCACAGGGCGAACATGCAAACTCCAGGCAGGTGGTGCTGTGGTTGGGATTTGAACCAACGACCCTAGTACTGCCAGGCAGATGTGCTAACCATTTAGCCACTGTGCTGCCCAGGTACAGATTCTTACTGCCAAGTTTGAAATGTTACAAAATGTGGCCATAGAGGTTTAAATATATCCAAGTCATGGTATAGATAGTAGCAGTTAGCCACCTTTAGCTGGACTGGTTTGGAAATATTGAAGATGTTTTATCACTTAGATGTTTTCCCTTTTACAAAATAAAGTGGGATAAATACTACACATTTTACATCACTAGAGGTCACCAGCGCTCAACAGTCTGCATTACTGGCCATCTGCTTAGGCAGTGTTTTCTAAGCTGCAAATCAGAATGCGTGATGCTGTACCTCTGAGCGCAGGACAATGTTCTCATCTTCAAGATCTTTCAGTTTCTTTTGAAGAGAATCAAAGTGGAAATAATTTTGGACAGATGATGAAGATTCATTCCTCTTCAGACTGTTATGAAGACAAAATATCAGTTACAAGAAGGATAATTAGGACTACTAAACAGTGTAATCACTCGAGAGTTGTGAAATTAGAAGCTACACAGCCACTATAAAGAAAAAAAATTAAATTTTTGTAATAAATGCTTTATTTGGAGTTCACTAAGGGACAAAGGAAGTCTTTTACCTCCAGGTAATACTGTTCGCTACAAGAGGACTGGAGACTGGCAACCAAACCAGTATATTGGATATATTAAACTCAGGTATCTATGGCCTGCTATATGCTACATACACATTATATGTGTTTGAAATCCACGCATCGTGTATACCTGGTTCCTCACCCCCATATGCATCTTTGAAAAAGCATCAAGGACCTGATCTTATTTCAAGTCGACAGGAGTCTTCTTGATCCTTATTGATGGTAATATATCCACATTTTATGTGTGTTTTGTTTTCGGGGTCACCTGATGCCCATGATCTATACATTTATTATCTTTTTCTATATATATCCTCAGAATCATTTGGTACTGTGGACCTTGTTCCATTTGGGGTGGCTATCCAGGAAGTCCCTACACGTGAGAAGCGGGTATGATAGTCTCACTATTGAGAAGGTAACAGCAGTACCCATTGACTATTGTGGAGGGAGGCCTAGTAAATTTTGGATGTGATTTGGGTTCCATATTTCTATACACATACTATGTATTTTTGTGTTCCAGCTTGTACATTCCAGGAGGTCCCTGACATATACTGGGAACACACCTATTGAATACATGGTTCACTCAAATATAAAGCGGGAAACCTATGGAAACCCAGGATAACTATTTCATCATTACACAACTCTGCCTTATATGGTGCTCTGTTGGCTAAGATGACCCTAAATTGAAGACGCTAAGTGTTTTTTTTAACATGATTTTATTTATTTTTTTCATATGTACACCGTGCTCATGTTTAACCTCCCTATGATCTATGTGATCAAATAAAGTATTGTTAAAATTCCTTTGAATTCATATTACTCCGCGTGGATTATTTAGAAACCTTCTTTTTCAGATAGGTGTGTCCTGTCACACTATCATATTGTTTAGTACTCCTCCTGCTATCGGCATGCCTGTTTTGTAGCAAAGCATTGGCAGGAGCATTAGCACAAACACGGGGTGGGACCAAAAATCCCATATTCTCTCTTATCTATTGTGGGCCACAGGAGGTCTTTAGAGTGGAACATGTAACATGTTCACATCGCTGCAGCTACTGCCTAATATCTCTCTCCCCACCCCTGTACTAGCTGTCAGTTTTTTAAAACAGAGCGGCTGTGCGGGGCTTCGCCCACACGGCTGTGTCATTCATTCAGAGTTCTGTGAGTGTTTGAACTACAAGTCCTGACAGCTTTTGAAGCTCTCGACTTGTAGTTCTTAATGATCTACCATGGCACTGTTGAGCCCTGTGGTAGTTCATGGAGTCTTCCTGTCACACTGTATCTGCTTGCCCATATGGGATGTACAGGCACACAGATACACTGATAGTTTGCAAGAGTCCTGCATGGCACAGATTAAATGCTTTCCAGGCTCCACAAAAAGAAAAAGGTACTCTTTTTTTTCTAAAAAGTGAACATATCCTTTAACATTTGATTCTGTGAGTGACACCTGTTAAGTAACGCATGGGATTTACATACAGTATATGTGTGTGTGTGTATATATATATATTGTGACAGTGTGGCAATCTGTCACCCAGGATTCTCAACAAGGCAGGTTGAGGGGCTCCAGGCTAAGTGTTTGATACGGAGGAAAGTGGCTTTTCACTTTCCTCCTTTGTTTGTAAGGTCTGTTTTGGGATCTGGAGCCTGGAGATTTAAAAGAGATCTGGGAGGGATGAAATCTCCAATCCTGGGACCAGGTTTTGGGAATGGCCATTACACTGATTGCACAGGTGTACACGGCTCTTTTGTAGGGTCAGGACCAGGGTTCTGGGCTCCACCCCGGCAGCTAGGAGTCAGCAGGGCTCCACCCCGGCAGACGGGAGGTCTCTGCCTTGGAGTCAGGTGGAAGCCAGACTAGCTGTGTGCTAGTGGCTATAATTTGGGAAGAGTCTGCAGGAGACAGACATTGAACTGTGTGTAAGCCAGGAGGCTGAATCGTTGTTTTGTTGGTGGATACCCCTGCGTGGGAAGCATTATGTTATGGGACATTTTCTGTAAATAAAATTGGGCAAAAAGGCCTTGAAAAATAAGCGAGTAGCTGTGTGCGTTTAAAAGCTCTACCACGTTGAAGCGAGTTCCCACATATGGTGGAGGATGCGGGCAGAATTGGAGATCCCAGCGATTGAAGTAAGTTCATCAGTCATATGAACTGTTTGGTGCGTAAGTCTGCACTATCTGTGTGTGCAGGTGAGGAGAACCTGTTAAAGAAAAGGACTTTGCCTTAAAGAGACAGTGTTCCATGGTGTTGCTGAACTGTGTAACATGTGTGCATGACTGCAAACATGGGGCGGTCAAAACAGAAAAAGGAGGCAATGTTTGCTGAAGCGAGAGATAGAGCCCTGTGGCTAGGGGGTTATATACCGCATGCCCCAGCCAAGCCGGGAAATTTAGATGTGGGTGAATCTGCTGTGGACTGGTGCAAGCGGCACCTGGCAGCATTGAACCAACCTCCAGAGGAAAGCAAGCCAACCTTCAGTGCAAGGAGAGAGCTGCAGGATGTCCGTACCTGGGAGAGGGGTGTTGTCACCCATGGCAACGCTGCTGCAGTTAAACCAGTAGCTGTTGTGAAAAATGTGAATGTGTCACGGCTTGAGAGTTGGTCCAGCAGAGAGAAGCCTATGCTATGTGCAAGGAGAGGGGCTGACCAGAGGCCAGGACCAAGAGTGAAGGCCCATAGCAACGCAGAGGAGGCCAGTCGGGCTGTCTGTGTACAGGGGGCTATGTCGTACAAGGATCATGACAAGTGGCATCAAGAGGAGCCAATACAGCGTGTTGGAAAGAGCCAGCAAAGTTCTGCTTGGAGAGTGCAATCTCCCATGGCGACCAGAGAAAAAGTAGTGCCTGGAAGGAGGAGCTGCATTGAAGATGTGGCTCAGTGTCCCAACAAAGATAGGAGTGGAAATGTACCATGCCTGGAATGTGGTCAGTGGGGGCATGGGATCTTTTACTGTCCCAGACTCTGGAATACTGCTGATACTGGGCAAATGTCTACAACATCAAGCCCAGATTCTTGTTTGAAAATGTTGGCGACCGCCTCTGGCAACAGGGAGGAAGTTCCCGTTGGGCCTGCAGGGGGTGCCAGAGAGTCCATGGAGCCTATGATGGTGTCTGTTACTTCACCTTGGGGCAAGGGAAAAGTTGCCAAGGAAAGTGCAGTTGAGGATGCGTTTATGAGACGACGCACTCAAATGAAGATGGTGACACCTACTACTGTGGTGGGTAAGACTGTGTGTGATAAAACCATGGCTGGGACTGTCATGTTGAGAAGGACTGGTTATGAGACTGTCCATTCTGATGTAGGAGTGACCCCAGTTAGTTGGGCCACTGAATGTGCTTTTGAGAGTGGCTTTTCCCTGTGCAGTGCCTTGTACAGTGGGGAGGTAGGGGTTAAAGTAAAACCTGTGCTGGTTCTCAAAAAGGAAGTGATGTCACTAATGTGTGCCAGTCACAGGTTGGTAGTAGGCTAGTACAGCCCACAAGAGCTACAAATGCTGATGATGTTGTTGTGAAATGTACTGCTGTTGGGAAAACCCTGAGCTCTTGCAGTGCAAAAGCTGTAACTAAAGATGGGTCATTTCCCATAGCAACTGGTGGTAAGACAGCACAGGTGTCCTTAGACATCTCCAGGGGTCTCCGTGTATTGGAGCCAGAGGTTGCCCTGGACAACTGCGATGTCACTCTGGTGGAGCAGAGTGGAACTGCACCTTGTCATAGGAGTGTGTTGGTGCAGTCTAACAATACGGAAAGTGTTCAGGTGAACAGCGGGTTAATGCAGCCTGGCAAAAATGCAAGTGTGTGGGTAATTCAGGAAGTATCACCAGAGCAAAGTGGTGGATGTGAAGTATTGCAACCTGCAGTGGGAAAACAGGTGTTACCCAAGTCTGATGTGATCCAGAGTGATTTGTGCAATGGATCTGCAACTAAGCCCGTCTATTCTTATGTGTCTCCTTGGGCGGATGGTTCGGTGCTGAGGAGCACTGGTGAATTGAGCACATATACAATGGATTGGGATAGTTGGGGTAAAAGGCTAATCTCGTTGATAGATGAGGTGTTTATGCAAAAAATTAAGGTGGACACTGTTTCTGCTGTGCCAGCAGGAGGATCTATAGGACAAGCCTATAGATAAGGGCGTGCATACAGCAGAGACTTTGTCTGTGACCCACAAAAGTGATGTTGGCATGGAGTGTCAAAATGATGTTGTCACTGGGAGTGATCAAGGGCAGCTTGTGGATGCTGAGTCTGAGACGTTGAGAGTGAGCCCAGCACATGGCAGCGCTATGGTGGAGCACCAGGCTGTGGTTATCTCCTGCTTGGAGGAGGTTCCTTTAAAAATTTAAACTTCTCAAGTCTCAGCAGGTGAGTCTCTCAGCGTTCCCAGTGTCCTAAATATGGTCAGGAAGGTCTTAAGTTTAAAGTCAAGTGGTTGGGTTGTAACCAAAGTATTAAAGGAGATGCTTGAACTTTGGAATGTACAACCAATGTATACTGGGGTGTCTCCTCCACAGTCAGATGGTCTGGTACTGCGGAGTACCACTAGGTGGAGCACCAAATGGCTGGCTGTACATATCAAACGGGAACAAGAAAGTGGTTTATTTCTGAATTTGTTGATGGTGTTAAAAGTTGTATCAGGGTATGCCGCTGGACTACCTGTCAATGTATTTGAGAGACGTTTTGGAGAAATGAAAAATGAGTCAAAGGTTTCACCTCCTAACAGCCAGGTGGGAAGCATTTCTGCTGCTATGGTCCATAGCTATGGATGGTGCTGGTCAGTTGTCAGTGAAGGGCGTGTTGACTGCACCAGTGGACAAACCACATGAGATGGA